AGTGTATTATTTGTTGAAACTGTACTTTCGATTTGATTTGAAACTGTCTCATTGCTATATGTTTATCAATAAAACTTTGAAAAGAAAAAAAAAATAAAGTCCAAGTAAGGACATGAATCCATCCCATTGGCCGCTCTTCCCAAGGGAGGCGTAGAAGGATCACAGGAGGGAAATGGGGATGGAACCTAGTTTCTCCAGTGGCATATGTCTAGACATAAGATTCACATCCCCGAAGAAGACATCAGAGATATAACACCAGCATTGCATGAAGAGATGAGATTCTACCTCAGAATCTAGATGATTCTGCTAAAGGAGCAGTGGGAAGGTAAAGGTCACAGTTGGACTTCGCTAGGGATTGGTGTACAATCCAGCTAAGAGTGTATCTGTTTAGTGAGGCCACTCTGAAAGGCAATATCATATACAGTGACTTTTGGTGAGTGTGGAGAGTAGGAGGAATTTGGAGGCTTATAGCTTCTGTTTGCTGGGAAGCAAGGTTCTTTGGCTTTGTTCTCCAGGCTGAAGTCTTCTTATACATCAAGGATGTCAGGATTTCATGTAGAAGGGAGCTATGTTTCTCTCAGAGTAATGCATCTTCAGCTACAGGGTATTAGAGTTAGAGCCACCCCTGCTAGGTGTGACCCAAGAAAGGTTACTTTGTGGAGCTCAGTTATTTATGTGCACAGTAGAGACAGCCTTGGCCATCCACAAGGAGGTATAAGAACTGACTGAATTCCCACAGGCCAACTAGGGGGTGGGCATTTCAGGATGGGACTGCAACCCACACAGTGCATCCTGGGAGAATATGTCCAGACAGTATGGAGAGGAGAGTGGGTGCGCTGGAGATCTGATGGGCAGAGGCAGGGCTCCTGAGGATGAGGAGGCCCTGGACAGCTTTGGCTTTCGAGTGTGTAGCAGCTTGCTCTGTCTGCATTGCTGTTGTGCATGTATATGATGGAGCCATGTGGGGAAACCCAGAGAGATAGAGTTACCTGGGCTTGGCTTTGCATTCAGGTCTGCTGTTGTCTTTGTCACAACTAATCTAAGTTTTTAGAGGATTTTATATGATTCATAGGAACTTTTTAAATTGCAATATATTCTCACTGATGAAAAGCTGAAAAGTCATTTATAAAATGTAAAGACAGAAATCACACACATTTTCTGCATACATCTACACACACACACACACACACACACACTCCCCCTCCCTTGTGGCTGTCCTTTTTGTGTCCCCTCTTGGCCTTGGCCCTGATGGTGGCATATGGCTCATGCTGGAGTGGACATGCTACTTCCTGGGATACATTTTCCTGGTCCACTTCCATCACCCTACTGATCACTGTAAATACCTGCATCACATTGTACTTGTAAAGGGACACTGAGCAAGTTTGCCCTCAACTTATCCTGTTGCCACTGGCTTAATATTTTTCTGCTTATTTAAATCTTAAAATATTATTCACTTCCTACGTGAAGCAGACTAACTCGTCTGCCCTGTTGCTTTTGCGATAACCTCCCTTTCATGGTAGACCTTGTGGCTCTGGTCCAGTGCACACCTCTTCATCTCATCCCTTCATTCACAGATGTTGGCCCCACACGTGTGGAGCCTCTGATCCATGCTGACTGAGTCAGCCTGCCATCAGTCCCCAAGGCACCACTATTCATGGGGCGGACCACAAGGCAAATGAGCAAGTAACAGCCTGCTGCAGAGAGCTCATCGGGGCAGCTGAGGGGACAAGGGAGCACTTTGTCCAGCCTTAAGGGGAGGTGCCTGGGAAAAGCTTTCTGGAAGAGCAGTATCCATGTTGAGCACCACCAGAGACCTGTGGATTTCAGGCAGAGGGAAAACATCCCTCAGCAGCAAGGGCTGTGGAAATGGCTCAAAAATCTACAGCCGCTGAACAATACCTGCTGCCCAGTGGAAGTTTGGGGGACGTATTAGTCACTTTCCTCAATGCTGAAACACAATGCCTGAGTTCAGCTGAAAGGCAGAGGGGTTGATTTTGGCTCACAGTGTAGAAGTTACAGGTCTTGTGTGGTTGATGGGGTCCTGGCCCAAGTGCCATCATGGAAGCCTCTGATGATAGGAAGATGCTCATCTCCTGGATGTTGGGGAGCAGAGAGAGTCAAGGAAGGAACTCCAAAGCAAGCCACACCCTTCTGGGTCGTGCCCCCATGGCCCATCTCTTCTGACCAGGCCCTAGTGCCTAACAAGGTAGCTACAGTGGTCCGTAATCCAGTCATTTTCCAAAAACCCCACCTATTAGTACATGGGGCTGTGAAGGCATGTCTAGATGTAAACCACAGCCCAGAGGTAAGGCAGGGTAGGTCTGAGCGCTGTGCAATAAGGACAGGACTGGGAAGTACTGTGAAACGACCAGGCAGAGCCATTTGTGGGGTCCCATCCCCCAACTGCAAGAGACCACCCATCTCTTCCCCAAAGCCTCATATCCCATTGTGATCTGGGATGGGATGGGATGGATGTGGAGATGGCAGGACAGTATATTTGTCATCTTTCTTGGCACTGGGACAAACTATCTGACACTTGTAATTTAAAGGAGAAGAGGGATAGTCGGGCTTATGGTCTCGGAGCCCGTGGTCTACTCTCTCCACCTCAGAATTATCTTGGTGGAAGAGCCTGGCAGAGGAAAGCTGCTCAAGTCATGGCACCTTGAAGGCAGAAAGACAAAGAGGCAGAGAGGGCAGGGTCCGGGGAGGGATGTACCCGCCGAAGGCCTGCTGGGTGGGGGACCGTCTTCCTCCTCTGGGCGCCCCCCCAACCGCATGCTCAGCTATGGGCTCGTTGCTGGGTGGTACACTGGTAAGGGCAGCAGCTCAGGCGTCATTCACTGGTCCAGGTATTATTTCAGAACACAAGAGACTCTGGCTAACACGGTACAGGAGTGCCTCACTATTTCACAGCTCGACTTGCGCAGACTCAGTTTCACAGGTTTTTTAAAAAATATGAATCTACATCTAAATGTGAATCTATTGCGGAATTTTCGCTGTAACATGTGATTTTGCAGTGCCATCCAGGATACATACGTTGTTAAAATTACGTAGGTTTACGTGTTTGGAAAATGACAAGAGCATGAGAAGTGTTTCTAAAGGTGTGGGAAGGGTTTATAAAGCGTTGAAATCTGTATGAATACTAAAATAAATGCAACATCGCTAATTGGCTGTTTTTCTCGTATCGCAGGGTGTCTGGATCGTAACCACCATGATAAGTGAGGGACCCCGCTAGACCTCAGGGATAGCAGGGCAGGCCGCTCAGCTTTGCGCGCTAGCTGGTCACTTGACTGACTGCTTGCGGCGCAGTGGGGGCCAGAAGTGAAGAGAGACCCGAGGCTGGGCGTGGGCTGGGGCTGCCCCTCTGCGTGGGCCATCCAGCTCAAGGGTGCGTCTCTAAGGATGTGTTCTTCACGCAGGAAATGCTCTGGTGGATTCCTGGGGTCTCTTCTCGACCAGACACACTCGTCTTCAAGAACAGGGGTGCCATGGCGGGCCCCCGACGGGGCGCTGCGGCCTGCCTCCTCTGGATGCTGCTGCTGTGGAGTAGGGGTGGCGGCTGCCAGGCCCAGCGGGCAGGTGAGTGTTTTGTGGAGTGTCCTTTGGCTGGGCTGAGCCGGCCACGCAGAGATCTGTGTGTCTGTCGGTGTCGGTGTGGGCGAACCAACTGCCACTCTACTTGTGAGTATGCAGGAATCTGTTGCTCAGCTGGGATGTGTGTGTGTGCAGGAGAATTTGAGAATGTATGTGATAGTGTTTGGAAGAACGTGAGCACGATAGTGTGTGGTAGTGTGAGTGTGATAATGCTAGTGTGTGACAGTGTGGAGTGAGAGGGTGTGAGGCTGTGTGAGAGAGGCTGAGAGAATGTGTTAGTGTGTGAGAATGTGGGTGGATGTGAGTGTGCATGTGCTTTTGGAGGAGGGTGTAAGTGTGCATTTGTGTGACAATGTGAGACCGTGGCTGTGCATGGGACTGTGGGTGTGGGAGGTATAGGGGGAGGGCGCACAGCGAGCTCTGAGCCTGCAGAGTTTGGGGCTGGGCCTAAGGCACACTACTGTGTCATGTGAAGGCTTTGGACACATTTTCGAGGATGGACACCCTGGAGTCCAGCCAGAGGGGCTCCAGGACAGGATTGACTCAGAATGCCTTCTGGAAGCCTGGGGGAGGGGGGTCTGTGCTGGGACAGTATGGCTTTTTTGTCCTGTCTGGGGTCCCTGCCACGGGAGAGGTGGTAATCAGTACTTCAGCATGAGGGTAGGTGGGAACAGGAGCCAGTCCCTACCTGGGACACCCGGCACAGAGGTAGCAGGTGGGCGCCTCAAGTATGGGCCGATACCCCCAGGGTGCAGGCAGGCTGCCTGTTCCTTGATCCAAGGCATAAAATGCCACTGCATTCTTGCAGCTGAGGACTAAGGCAGAGGCCTGAGAGCCCAGAAGGCAAGGCAGAGAGAGCAGAGTGATGCACTAGAGCTTGCTCCCGGGTCTCAGAAATGAAGACCTCTTTACTCCTTATGGATTATGCAAAGTGCCCTCACACATGTTCCTGCACTGAGTGCTCCAAGGCAGGCTAGTGGAGCTGACGGAGCAACTAAGGACAGCCAGCTTTCCTCCGAGGAATAGGGGGCATCTCTGTTCATGGAGTCCTACACAGCTGCACAGTTGGCTCAGTGAGGGAGCTCCCAGACTGGTGCTCCTACGCCACTGTCCCAGGGTATAACAAGTGACCTGGGGGAGCAGGCACTTGAAACAAGTGCAGGACCCTTTCCTGCAACAGGACCCAGACCCAGGTCACAGCCTTTCTCCTTCCCATCACGCTTAGTTCTGTCATGTGCCCAGAACCCTGGCTGCCCCTGACTCAGAAAATTGTGCTTAGAGTTCCAGGGCCCCTGGGTGAGGACTCTTGAGCAATTGAACCTCCTGCAGCCCTAAAACAAATTTGTTGTAGGAGCACAGTGGTCAGGCTGGGCCCTGCCTGGCCTTTAGCAGCCGTACCCTGGACAGGCTTGGACATCTTTGTCCCAGAGTCAAAAGGATGACCTGTATGTCAAAGAGAAAGCTCCCAGAAATTATCCCCAAGACTACACATATGGGTGAACATATTCCAGAAGCTCTAAGCCTGTTAAGAACAGTCCTACCTGGAAAAAAAATCCTTATTGGGGGCCTGGCCCTAGCTCAGGCCTTTAAGTGGCTGCTTCCACAAAGCTGTCAGCCTCAGGTTGCTGGAGTTTGAACCTCACAAGTCTCCC